CGGAGACTCCCACCCGCTACCTGCGCTGGCTCAACCAGCAGACCCGCTGGAGCAAGTCCTACTTCCGCGAGTGGCTCTACAATGCCCTGTGGTTCCACAAGCATCACCTCTGGATGACCTACGAGTCGGTGGTGACCGGTTTCTTCCCCTTCTTCCTCATCGCCACTGTCATCCAGCTCTTCTACCGCGGCCGCATCTGGAACATCCTCCTCTTCCTGCTCACGGTGCAGCTGGTGGGCATCATCAAAGCCACCTACGCCTGCTTTCTGCGGGGCAACGCCGAGATGATCTTCATGTCCCTCTATGCCCTCCTCTACATGTCCAGCCTCCTGCCCGCCAAGATATTTGCCATTGCCACCATCAAGAAGTCTGGCTGGGGCACATCAGGGCGCCGGACCATCGTGGTTAACTTTGTGGGGCTGTTGCCGGTGTCGGTGTGGGTAGCGGTGCTGCTGGGCGGGCTGGCCTACACTGCCTACAGCCAGGACCTCTTCAGTGACACTGAGGTGGCCTTCCTGGTCTCGGGCGCCATCCTCTATGCCTGTTACTGGGTGGCCCTGTTTGCCCTCTACATGGCAATCGTTGCGCGGCGCTGCGGCAAGCGGCAGGAGCAGTGTGGGCTGGCCTTCACTGAGGTCTGACTGCGGCAGGGGCTCTGTGCCGGGGTGACTGTCACCAGTCCCTCCTTGCCCAGCACAGCGGGCGCTGAGCTGTTGGTGCTGGGCAGCGCTGAGCGCGCCCGCCGCTGCATTTCTGATCAAGTCTTGCTGTTTCTTTTGTCATTGTTTTGGGTTTTTTCATATATATTAATTTTTCTGTACAAAAGCTGGCTGCTGAATGGGGAGAGGCCAAGCTGGTGCTGCCTGGCACCGGGCTGGGCACAGTCTTGGTGCTGTGGGGGTGACAGCTGTGTGCCCCCACCAGCGCCATACTGGTGTGCTATGTGGAGCGCTGCTGGCCAGGCTCCCCCATTGCTGTGTCCTACACCCTCTGGTGCTTTTTATGGGGATTTCATTGTCCAACCACCACGGTGCTATGGCAAGAAGGTCCCTTGTGGCACCATGTGCCAGCACCGCTGGCTGGTGCTGCCTCTGCCCCACAGCTGCTGCATGTGTGGGTATGTACCCAGGGGAGCCCCCACGGCTCCCTCCAGCCCCTTTTGGGGATCTGGCTGCCCCAGGAGGGCAGCACCTCCTTTCAGCTTTGCCAAAGAGCCAAGGGGGGATCCCAGCATATGGAAACAAGGGGCTGTGGCTTGGCCAGAGTGTCACCGCAGCCCCATTGTACCAACCCTGCTGCCTTCCTGGCATCTTGTCTAGACAGTGGGGAGACGCTGGGTTTTGGGCTTTGGCATGCAGAGGAGGGTGGAGAAGAGCCGGTTCCCAACCTCTCCCCTTCCTGGGGAATTCACCCGGTCCTCTCCCCTGGGCCCTCTTTTTTTTCAGGGCTTAAACCTTTCTACAATTGAGCTTTTAGATGGTTTTGTTTAATTTAAGACAAGGTTTTTTAGGAGACTTTTGTAGCTCTTTGGTATTCAGACTTGCTGCGAATTGTTTGTAAATCTATTTATTTTTTAACCCACAGTTGATTAATTTTTTTTCTTTCATATTTTTGGGAAAAATCTGTTTTTATATCCTGATGGATTTGTCAAAATAAAGACTTGCACCAAGGAAAGATGGTGTTTGTGTGTATGTGGGTGGAGGGTGATGGTCCTGGTCCCCTGCCCTGGCTCAAGAGAAGCTGGGGCTCAAGTCCCTGCCCAGCACCAGCTGTCCCCACAAGTACAGAGGTGCTTTTAGAGGGGACACATCAGCAGATGGGCCTTACTGTGGCTCCCTGTCACAGGCACAGTTGGCAGCACACTGGGAACTGCTGAGTCCAAGCACTGAGGGCGGCCCCTGGGCTCAGAGTAGGTCACTGCCCATCAGGACCCATGTCACCTAGGATGGCACTTGGGTTTGTGCCCCAGAGGCTGGCAGCTCTCAGAAATGGAGTTACTACAGGGTGTACAAGTGACCTGTGAAGGGCTCTGGGTGCCCAGATGCAGGACATGGCACTCTGATATGAGCCTGGGTGTCCTCTATGCAGGATGGGGATGCCAACCCTGCATCTCCCTGAGCTCTGGAGCTCACAGCCACCAGGCCAAGCCCAGGTCTTCACACCTTCTTGGGTACGTTGGTGATGATGGGCTTGGGACGGGTTTTGAAGAGGAGCTTGGTTTTGATGAGGGCAGTGATGGTGTAACATGTATCTGGCCCTGTGGGGCCCGGCTCCTCAGCTCCCCGCTTCACCAGTACAGCAAAGGGCTTCTCCAGCTGCACCACCTTCCCGTAGAGGATGTGGTGACCCACGATGAGGACGGGGACCCCCT